AGTTGACGGGAAATTGGCATCTCATCCTTGTTTTCCTGAACCTCATCATGAAGTCCTCAGTAGACTCATGATCATATTGTTTGACTTCAACTAGGTCATTGATAGTCAATTCTGGTTCTATTCTGTAGAACTGTTCATGGAAAGCCATCTCTATTTGCCCCCAGTTGGCGATAGAGTTAGGGGGCAATAGAGAATACCACTGAGATGCTAACCCTGCCAAGGAATTCCCAAACAACCTCAATTTGTAATTCGGGTTGTCCTCATATGCCACACAATGATTGGAGAATTTGAAAATGTGGTCCCTGGAGGACACATTGTTGTCTTCACCCGTGAATGTTGGGAATGCGGGCATCTTGAAGTTGAGAGGGAATGGATTTAGCTCGTTAATATATTCAGGATAAGGTTTTTGGTAAGTGATCCTGAACATTGGGCGAGCTCGCGGTTGAGCATTTTGAGCAACCGTCCTTCTCAACTCAGCTAATTCCCCCCTCAGCTGCTGAGTAGCTAGAATATCATTATGCCTGAGGAGAGCAGATTCAATTTTTGGGCTCCGGTCGTTGCCCGCACTTGTTTCCCTCCTTGGTTCGGGCTTCCTCCAACTAGTTCCTCCACCTTTATTCGTCAACAGGGGTGGCCTATAAGGTGGGGGTTTATCTGAAGTAGTGGAGCCCTCCTTTCCGCTGGTCTCTCCCATCACAGTTGGCATTCCGTACCTCGTTCTTTCTTGCTTGCTTGGCTTCCTATTATTGAATGATAATAATGGGAAGCTGGGAAGCTCATTCTCCAGAACTGGCTCCATCACCAGTTGAGTCCATTCAGGAACTACCTTTTTCTTTCCCCTATCTTTTTTTCTTCTTCTAGTAGTGGGAATAAGGGAATGACTGGTTCATTTCTCATAACTACTTGGCTCATCCCACCTCCCTGAGCCCCTTTTGGAGTAGAGAACTCCAAATCAAGTCTTCTCTGTAGATTCCCTGTTAGTGTACAGAGCCTACTCATTTCTCCCTTGGTTTCCAAGGAGATTCTCTCCATGCTTTTTAGCACTTGGATCATTGTAGCCTGTAGTTCTTCATTAGTTCCCTTTTCTTCCGATCTCTCATATGCGGTTGGGCTTTCTAGGACCACCTGTCCTGATGGGGAGGAAGGGTTTTCTGATTGATCTGCCATTTGTAGAAGACCTTCCTTCGGATTCTTTTTGGACAGGCAAGATTAAGAAGTTTGTAGTCCCACCGGGCGTGCCAAAACTATGTTCGCGTCAGGAATTTTCGTCGGGGATGTTTCCTGGCCGACGAGCACACAGCTCCCCTGGAGGTTGGCCCCGGTTGAGGACTGCTGTCGGGCTTCTGCTTCACTATCGGGCGTTGTCAGGTAAGTCTCGTCGGGCAAGGCTCTTCGGGCAAGGCTCTTCGGGCAAGGCTCGTCAGGCAAGGCTGAAAGAGAAGGACAGCGTTAACTTTGAGAGGTGCCTTTGTGGGGCCTTAGGTGTAGGCCTTGAGGCTCACAATCAAGGTTAACATTTAGATGCTCAGGCGTGCCACTGCCATCTTTAGCATAGCAGATGTAAAATGGATGTCGCGTTTTAGTTGCATATATGTATGTATCCAAGAAACCCTGTTAGTTATAACAGGTGCCTTTGTGGGGCCTTAGGTGTAGGCCTTGATGCTTCCCATCAATAACTAAACCGATGATTGAACACATCATATTTGTTCTCGTGATTGCTGGAGTTTTCTAACTATTATACTTCTGATTACCCGAGTGCAAGAAGTAGAATGAACCCAAATAGGTGCCTTTGTGGGGCCTTAGGTGTAGGCCTTGAGGCTTCCCATCAGAGTTCATTCTTATACTTAGACTCTTTAGATCGCTGAACGGAATGAATCCAAATGGATGCCTTTGTAGGGCCTTAGGTGTAGGCCTTGAGGCTTTCCATTAGAATCCATTCCATGCTCAAGCTTTCTATAGTAATCATGATATAATAGAAGGAAAACTAGAGAGTAGGTTGATTACTTGCGCCCTACGTAACTTCGGACTTCTCGTTTATCAAGGACTGTCGTGGATGGGTTAAGTCCACATAAGGTTCTTTTTTATGCCTTGAGGCCAAGGACTTTTAACTTATCAGATTTACATGCCCGAAGGCTTAGGGCTTGGATCTGGTTTGAACACTGACAATATATTCAAATCGGATTCAAGTACTGAGAAAGCCTTTTAATAGTCATATTGCTAGAAATAACTTGCATATAACTGGAAGTATACAACATATTGAAAAGACAAAAACAAAGCAAAGAAGGTCGGGCAAGGTTAAACCTTATCGGGTAAGGTTGCTCGTCTTGCAGGTTCCTATCTTTGTAGTTTTGTCAAAGGTCTGAAAGCTTAGAGGGAGAGAGAGAGATTACAAAAAATGAATCGATACTACAGCAAGGTTGAACAAGGTAGCAGAGCTATTACAAAGGGTTGAAAAGAGGGTTATCCCGAGGGGGATGAAGGTTTGTCCCGAAAGGGATGAAGGCTGACTACAGCTTTGTTTTGAAGGCAAATATGGCTTTGAGCAGAGTTTGTGCTTGCATTTGTTTGTTTGATTGAGTGTCCTTATTCCTGGTTTTTCTTTCTTCTTATATAGACAACTCGGCTTGGTCTTCTGTAGCAGCAGCTTTGCCCGAATGTGGCTTGCGGGTGATGACTCATCAGCTTTATTACATGTAATGCCACCATAAAGTGCTTTATGGGCTGTGTAACTAATCAGTCTACACCACTTGGCCTTTGGGTAGGTAAGAAAATGGTCTTCATGAGCTGCACCAAGTCAGAAAAGGCCTTTTCCTGCCTTCTGGGCTTTGACCGGGTTCTGGCTATTTTTCCCTTTGGGCCTCCTTTCGGGCCAGCTCCTTCCTTGAGCCCAAAGTTCAAGTTTTGATCCAAACAGACCTAACGTTATATACTTAACGATTCATTTTATTATTCTTTAATTTATGACATTTCAATTAAAATGAAACTGCTTACTTAGTTGGTGTTGACGTAATAATCTGTTAAATCCACCTGAAATTTGTTAAGATAAGATGACAATGGTAGTTATAAAAGTGACGTCGATGTAATGTTGATTGAAGATTTTCTAATAATTTAGTTAAAATGAGATGTTATTACGGTTGGTAATCTTGCAATCATTTCTGATAGAAAAAACAAAATAGTGCAAGATGATTGCAAACGTGAGAGTAACCACATTAGATAGGACTAATGTGCTATATATCTCAAATTTGAATTCGTCTTTCCATAGTTTACATTACTTTAAATTACAATATTAATTCTGTAAAAAAAGTGCAAATAATAATCTGGAGATGAGAATATCATTAGAAGTCCGAGCATTTTAATTTAGCTCCGGGATTGAACTAATTTAGCTTGGATTCGATACCACATGCATGCAGGGATACATTGTCTAACTCAATATAGCAGAACGTATATGGTTGTGATGCAATTCTCGCATGCTTTTTCACGCCCCGGACTCAATTCGGTAGAAAATCTCGACTTCGAACGTGATCTAAAATTAAAGAAAAAATAATTAAGAAATATTTACAAGACTAAAATAAATAAATAAGACTTCTCACATATGAGTGATGATGTACAAATAGTTTCATTTCATCGTTCACATAGACCATATTATATTCTCAACCAATAATAATTTCACAATCAACATAAAAAAAATCCAGTTAATTAGCAATGATATACATATATCCAAGTAACACCAAACAAGATTAATCGACCAACAATTATATAGAACTTTGCGAAATTTAAGCAAACCAAGTTCCTTAAAGATCTACCCGATTTCCCTTACTTGAATTCCAAGGCATTGCTTTGAAGTATTAACACAAGAATCCACCACTGCGATAAGCTCCTATTCACAAATGCAAAGTCAATACTAAATGCATGAAGCAACTCTGACCCTAGTCAGATAACTTGGCATTACTAATTTAGGACTTGGATTATCTGCCCTCCCCGTGCCCTCTTGTTTTGTGTGGTCACGGTTAAGCCGTGTCAACATTTTATATTGTTTTTTTTATAAAAATAATAAAACAAAAAGAAATAGTAATATAAAATGTTGATGTGGCTTAACCATGACCACACAAACAGGAGAGCACGAGGAGGGCACTGAAATGGGAGGGCAGACAATCCAAGTCCTACTAATTTAACACCACTCCTTTCAAATGTCATTACATTTATGCAATCAGGGTAACCATTATTAACTATACACCTTGTTTCGTATAGCTAAAACTTGGCATATGAGACATATATATGCATATAGCTTGAAAACGTGAATCATCAACTTGGTTTTGGTCCTAGTATTTTATTGCTTTACATTACCTCATGTCTAACATATTTGTTGGATGTGCCTTGTGTGCAGTAGCGGAGCCAATGCGGGGGCATTGGGCTCCCTTGACCCCAATGGATCTGTAATTTGTCCCTTTAAATAAAAATTTGACCCCTTTAATAGCACTGCAACAGCAGCTTTGCAGCAGCTCCAGCGAATGTGCAGAAAAGCAAACTGCAATATCAATTATATATTACTAAAATAATCAAAATGTGCAGAAAAGCAAACTGCAATATCAATTATATATTACTAAAATAATCAAAGTGTGCAGAAAAGCACATGACTGTTGTGTGTTGTCTAAATTACAATCAAGCAAATTGCAAACTTTGATTATTATATAACATTAAAATAAGGAAAGTTGCATAAATGTGTCTAAAGACTCACTCCTTGGACAAAGTGTCTCTCGGATGGAAATGATCGAGGTTCCGAGAAGAAGAGACTCTCTCCCATCTCACTCTCTCCCATCAGACTCTTTCTGTCTCTCCTCTCGAATTCAAAGACCCACCCATCCTCTCACAACCAGACTCCGATAAATCAAGGTTAGGGTTTCAATTTTGATCGATTCACCAGTCTCTGATTTTAAATTTTTAATGCAGGTTTGGTTAATAATGTCGTTACTATTGTCGGAGCATCATGTAAACGTCGAGACATGGTTAGAGAAAGACAACAAACCAAAGTTATGGAAGCTATTCGAGATTATGAGCTTCCAAGTGGGCAAGGCTTGAACCAAGAAACTAGTCTTAAACGTGCAAGTGATACACGTTGGGGCTCACACTATGGTACCTTGGTAAGCTTGGTTAATATGTTTTCTTCTGTAATTGAGGTGCTTGAGATGATTGTAGATGATGGTGTAAGTCTTGATCAAAGAGGTGAAGCGGATATTTTGTTGAATCTTTTGCAATCTTTTGATTTTGTCTCTAGTCTCTTTTTGATGAAAGAAATATTGGGAATCACAAATGTGTTGTCACATGCATTGCAAAAGAAAGATCTCGATATAGTGAGTGCTATGGCTTTAGTCAAAGCATGTAAGCAACAACTACAAGCGATGAGGGATAATGGATAGGATGCTTGGCTTGATAAAGTTTCTTCTTTTTGTGGCAAGCATGATATTGATATTCCTGATATGAATGACATCTTTGTAGCTCGAGGGAGGTCACGACGTAGAGTTGAAAATTTGACAAACCTTCATCACTACCGTGTTGATCTCTTTATTGATGTTATTGATAAGCAACTTCAAGAGTTGAACAATCGTTTTAATGAGACAAGTACAGAGTTGCTTCTTTGTGTTGCATGCTTAAGCCCAGATGACTCATTCTCAGCTTTTGACATTGAAAAGTTATTCGACTTGCTAAATTTTATCCAAAGGATTTTTCTGATATGGAGCTCACACTTCTTGAAGATGAACTGAAGAATTATATATTTGATATGCGTTTGCATAATGAATTTTCTACTTTGAAAGGAATTAATAACCTTGCACAAAAGTTGGTGGAGACAAAGAGGGATAGACAGTATCCCCTGGTGTACTTGCTAGTGAAATTAGCATTGATTTTACCTGTTGCGACTGCTTCAGTTGAAAGAGCTTTTTCGATGATGAAAATTGTGAAGAATCCACATCGTAATAGGATGGGTGATCAATGGTTGAATGATAGTTTGGTTGTGTACATTGAGAAAGATGTATATGATTCTATTAGTAATGATGTTGTAATACGACGTTTCCAAAATATGAGAACACGTCGTGGACAATTATGAATGAAAGTATGATCGATTTTTGAAAGTTATTTTTTGACCCCATTATCTTAAATTCCTGACTCCGCCACTGCTTGTGTGGGTACTTGAGTATGACTACAATAATATTTCGATGATCAAACTTTATAAGTAGTTTGACTCATTTAGTTCTTCAATATCCTCCACTTTGTTTATCAGACTTTTAGTTGTCATCTTTTGCACTGGTTTGATTATTTTTTTCAATAATATAATATCATTTTTCTTCTTAAATATAAAAGAAGGAGAAGTATTCCTTAATTCTTCCTTAGGAATATAGTCTCTATTGCACCGTCGAGTAAACTTTATAACATGTTAGTTTTTGTTCTTATTCGTATCATGTTGATCACAAACTGCTTTATGGACTAGTCACCTGAGTTTAGGAAGGTTAGTTCATAAAATTGTGAACTTTCATTATTTAATTTGTTAAATAAACTGCTTCTGATTTCAGTGAATTATTAGAATATATATGTTAAAAAGTTGGCTTGGGATAGTAGGAATCTCTCTCTATACCTATCATAGAACAATATTCCAACAATCTAGTCCATCCAATATAAAAATAAAAAGGAGAAAAAATAAAAGGCTTATTATATTAACACCCCACAAATTGTTGAATAAACCCCACATACTTAATACACCCCACATTTATTTTTTCACTTAAAAATTATCTTAATACACCCCACATAATTTCCCATAATACCCCCACACCCCACATTCTCAATATACACCTTATATTTTGTACATACACCCCACATCTTCTATACACCCCACATTTCTCAATATATACTCCATATATTTCGGGTAGTTTGATTAGCACAAAGCTCCACAATGAAGCTGCTATAGTAAACCGCAATGATTCAATTATTTTTTTTTCTTTGATTTGGTCTTAAAACAGAGCTCCGCAATGAAGCTGCTATAGTAAACCGCAATGATTCAATTATTATTTTTTTTCTTTGATTTGGTATTAAAAAAAAAAAAAGAGCTCCGGCAATGAATTTGAATGTAATTTTTCTTACACAACCTCCATTAAAAAGTAAACATTGTTTTTACAAATGTACTCTCGCTTTGCAATCAATATATTTCAATTCAGTTTGTAAAACATAAATCAGTCACAATCAAGACATATCGTTTCGGTGGTGGCTACACTATTTAGACCTGGTAATAGCTTAAATTGTTCCACACGATCTTGGTAGTTGGCGTAAAGGTGTCGAGCGTTATTTACTGCAAGAGTATGCCAATTTTGTGCAACCGGTGGCATGGGATGTCTTGGTGCCAAACGTAGCTGTACAAAATAAAGGGAATCAATTAGCTTTAAAAAACAATGTTCAATGTTGCAAAAAAAGTAAGTCAACTCTTAGTACCTGTATAAAGTGATTGTCATTGACTAAACCAATTGCAATCTCAGGAAGATTAGTGGGCTCATCATCTCCTAATACATATAAAGGTAGGAATGTGAGGCATTGCAAACGGGATAAAAAAATCACTACTACACGATAACATGAAGCTATAAGATGGCCCATATCTGGCATGCTCATCCAGTAGAGTTCCGGTGCATATGAATCTTCAAAATAGTCAAGTGCTTGGTCAATCTCAATACGCCTCTCTTTCCAACCAAAAGCTTGCTCATATAGGAATGGGCAACCACGTACTTCCGTCAATAGGTCCTTACGTACCCTTGGCCATGAATCTTGGCCAAATCCCATTGCCTCAGCTATGACTCTATATCCACAATTACCATCTCCAAGGACATCAATTGCAATAGTAATGTATTGCTTTATTGCCTCAGGGAACTGTCCTGTATATTGATGCGTAGGGGTGGCCGGATTGTGTAAAATTGAGCTATAAGTCTGTATAGTAATCAAGGGTTACTTAGTGAATTTACAATTAGTATATCAAACATCACAACTAAAGATAAGTGCATACCTTCAATTTGCGTGGTCTTCCCCTTGGCTTCTTTTTAGAGGGTTGTGGTTGGCTATCATGACCTGAAAGAGCTTCTGCAATCTCAAAGGCCGATGGCAAACGACGAGTAGAAGTGTCAACTTTACGTGGACGTCCTTTGGTTTTAATTTTTTTAACTGGTTCTGTAAGTGTCGTAGAACTTGGGTTCATCAACTCCTCTATTTTAATGCATAGTTGTCGTCTAGATTCATTAGTTTGACCCTCAAACCAATTGACAAACCGTTCAATGAGTGCTCTTATTGGAAGAATTGGGGGACTAAAAGCCGAAGGTTCAATGATCATGTCCAACTTTCTCCAACGAGGATGTATACAATCAATTGGAATTGGTTGACTACTACTCCTATACTTTGCAATTTCATGAGCACATGGGAGTTGGTGTGTACAGCGAAGAGTACAACCACATGATACAACATCATCACCAACTGAGTCGATTCTGTTCAAAAAAATAAAAATAAAAATAAATTATATGTGTAACTAACACCATAAAGAAACATCAAATCCTCAATTTACCTTTTTGCTTCACACACAATTATGTTTAATGCTTCAATGGATACAAAACCTCTTAACTCTCTCAACTCTTCATGCTTCAAACCATGGTAGACAAAACATCGACTCTTCTCAAATGAGGCCTTTAGTTCAGTGTGTTGCAACTCCAATAACGCGTGAATATTATTCCACAATATATCAAAGCTAAGCTGGCTAGAGCTAATCATCCGTTTTAGCTTTGAATGTGCACTTTCCGCCCTGATCATTAGTAAAAATTAGTAGACATAATAAAAGCATGGCTATATATTGAGTAAAACAAGGATAAAATTACCTGTTACTTGTTTTTGTACCAAAATGCATACAAGTGTCAGTCCATGCAGCCACAAACTTTTCCTTGTGCTCATTCAGCCATGTAGTTTTCAAGTAATCAATACCTTCATGAAATGAACTAAATTTGGATTCAAAGGCATGCCAATTATGTAAGTACTCCTCTTCTGTTGATGAACTTACCAAGGTTTGCCAATCATTAAAAAACATATTCCAAACCTCCTCTAATGTGAAGAGTTTCTTGCAATTGGTTGCAACTGCTTGATTTATATGCCATCTACACAATAAATGTCGAGTACTAGGAAAAACATTACGAATGGCATTCATCAGTGCTAAATCTCGATCAGTGACAATCACACCAGGAATACAATCATCATTCATTAGAGTCTTCAATCTTGTCAATGCCCATGTGTAATTGTCTTCCTTCTCATGGTCAATGAAAGCAAATGCAACCGAAAATGTAATATTAGTTGAAGTTACCCCTACAATCTCCAGGAGTGGAAAACGATGCCTATTAGTCTTGTACGTGCAATCCATGATAAGTACATGTGGGAAACAATGTAAGATATCGACATTTATTGGGTGAGTCCAAAACAAGTCACTAACAACATTATCAACACCAATACTTCGATGATGCTCAATATAGTTGTACTCAGCCAACTTACATAACAACTGTTGCATTTCTGATCTCCCTGCTTTTTCTTTTGTCCGATGATAGTGTCTTGCATTGTATATTGTCCTCATCGTTGTTACATTAAGTGGATCTTTTTTCTTTATGGTGTTCAAAATAACTTTGGGTCTCACTAAACTTGTAGACATGTCAACTAAAAGTTCATTTTGCTCTTTAGTTAATCGTCCAACAAAAGAATGCCCTTCAAGATATTGTGAATAAGTATGGTTATGCACCCCACACTCAACCTCCAATTTCCACTCATCTCCTTCTCCAACGTTGACTCCTTGCAACATAAATGGACATCCGCATTTTTTGGTACCAGTATTCCTGGGTTCTTTCTTCTTCTTATTATTTGCATCAGAATTTTGGTCATTAATATCAGACTTCCTCAATATGGATCGATATTTGCCATGTCTCTCACAAGCAAATGTTATTCGAGCTCTCTTCCTCCTTCGGTCAACCCCTCCCGCGTCAGACCTCTTAATGACAATAACCATATTATTCTTTTTTCCTTGGGTGCGAGTCCAATCAAGCAAATCATTTTTACTTTTGAACACCTGTACATACAAGATTATTGCCATTTGCCACTAACAAAATGTTTGTAGACATGCTAAGATTCCAACCCATATGTTTTTCCCTATTATGAACCTAATGCACTATGCTGCATAAAAGAATGCAAGAGTTTCCATGAAATTCACAGATGCACATTCAATATGCTAAAAATAGTTACCTCATCAGTTTTAAATGCGTTTGTGTAATCAACGACGCTTGTTGTTGCAACCTCAGTGTCCCCTATAGAGGTATTGCCTTGTATGCTATCCTATTTAAATACACCAAAAATTATTATCAAATCCTCATTTATTTACTAAGAATCATACACCTCAATTATTTGTTAAGAACCATACAACTCAATATCAATAGGCAGAGTGACTTTCTTTTTGGTAAAGGAAAAAAATAGGAGAGCTAGATAATAACCCAAATTCTCATGCATAAAAACAAAGAATACGAAATCAATTAGACAGTTTGGCCTGTTGCGTACATCCACCCTCAGTTTCCTGGGAATTTATATATCCTCCAAATTCAAAAGTGGATTATGGTAACTCCGAAAACCTTACACACCACTATTAGACAAAAATTTCACCCAAAATCTTAGGGACTCAAGACTAGAAATACACAGCACAATCTAGACACTTCTCTGCGGTGATTGTCACTGGGGAGATTCAAAGGTTTACAAATAAATGCAATGGTATAGATCATATTAGTGAAGTGACCAACACTCTCATTGTTCTATATCTTCCTCTCTGTGAACTGAACTCAACCAAGAGGAGAAGGTAAATAGATTTGGTCTCTAGGTATTCTATCTCAAATCTAGAAGGAATGAAGAGGAGTAAACAGATGAATAACAAGAAACACTGTTTATAACATATTTTATCGAAGGCGCAATCTACTATGAAAAGATGCGAAACTTCAACCCCAGAAAGTGTCGTCAACTCCACAGAGCAAAGAGTAGACCGGGGGGTTAAAGAAATAAAATGGTTTTGGATTCTGCCAGGAACAATGAACAAGGGACTACATGTCACTCAACGGACTGGATATAGAAGTTTAAACATCGCAACGAACTCAAGATTAAATTATTATCGATGTCATCGAAATCACTAAAATAATGAAAAATATGAAGTCTTACCTCATGTGAAGCTTCCGAAATATTGATTTCGTGTTCCATTCGTCAAAAGCAATTTTTCCTCAATCAACATGTTTGTAGTTTCATTGGTTAGAGTTTTATTCAACAATAGAGGGTGGGAGAGTTTTGATAGTTGAGAAGATAAATTAGGGTTAGGGTTTAGTGTTTGGGGTGTATTTAGAGATTTTTATTTTATTTTTTTTAAACCTAATAAGGTCAAAATTGTCATTGCATAATGGGGTAAATAAGTCATTTAATATTAAATTTTAATGTGGGGTGCATTCAACATTTTGTGGGGTGCTAATAAAAAAAGCCAATATAAAATCAATCCAATGATTCCAACCAACATACCCTAACTAAACCAGTTTATCCCATAAATCTCCACATTCTTTTTTTGGTATAATGCACATTTTCTTTATTTATTTTTCTTAGTTATAGGCTTACTCCTTTTTTTCCCATTAATTAGGAATTGGGGTGGGGGATTAAAACCTTTGACGAGGTGGGCAATCACTTGGCTATAGTGCCACTGCACTAAGGGCTTACTTTAACACTCCGCAACAAAAATTGAATAAAAAATTAGCCAGACTAATCTCCCAATTAGAGCTGCCTCGTACAATCCATTAACCACATTAATCATAGGGGTATGGAGTATGCATGCGTATTGGGTTAGTTTCTGGCATAAGAAATGATGAACCCACCATTTTAAAATTTGCAACTTGTTTCCCTCCCATCCCATCTCTACATTGGTGTTCCTGTTGTTGGGGTCCATGTCAGATAATTTTTGGGGTGTGGTATCCACACACCTATTTTTACTTCTCACACACCCTTTTAGTTATCGGCCGTCGGATCGGATGAATTGAAGAAGATCAACAGACATAAATTAATAAAGGGTATGTGAGAAGTAAAAAGATGTGTATGGATAGCACACTAATTCATGTTTTTGGGTCATTGATGAATGATGAATTGGTGATGAAGATCAATGAAATCTTGTTGTCAATATCAAAGCTTGTGGAGGATGTAGCAAAAAGCAGTAATATAGAACGAGTTCACTATTATCGTGACATTTTAATTTAAGAGTATAATGTTACGTAAACAGGAACTTACACATGACATTGTATTATTAGACTAAAATATCATGTTAAATATAAATTCATTTCATACAAGTCACATTGGAATCTCATTGGCCGCATTCTTAAAGTCAATATATGGACCAAAGGAATAACTTTCCACTTTACTACCCATTTTTCTTCTTCTTATTAAGTATTCTTGTAGCACGGAGAGAGAGAGAGAGAGAGAGAGAGAGAGAGAGAGAGAGAGAGAGAGAGAGAGAGAGGATTTAAAATAGGCATTTGGAACACCTTTTGCTTAATTCTTTCATTACTGAGAAGGGAAGGGAATGAAATCTTAACCCATAAACTACTCAAAGAAGGGGAGGGAGATTGAGGCAGATTTTTAATTTTATTTATTTATTTTTAATATGATAAAGCAACATCATGCATGTTTCACTTTGAATGTGTACATATCACCCACTTATGGTTGCTGTGGTACTCAATGTATAATATAGCTAGAGTACCATAATAATGATACTAACTAGAATCAATATCTATGTACTTTTACTTTGTTGCACGGTTCTTTGGAGACGAAGCACTACTTCACCAAGTTCTATTCATAGATATATTTGAATAAAATTGTAAACATCGATATTATTTTCGGTTGTAAATTATTTAAATTTAACGATTTGACTAATCAAAGTTGACGTGTCTAACTTATGAGTATCACACTAATATGACATATGGACCAAGACAAAGCAAGCAACCTAAAACAACACATGTCATCATCTGAGAAGCTTTATCAAACAACTCAAGTCAAATTCAGACAGGGAAAAGCTAGGGTTGTGCTATCCATACCCTATTTTACTTCTTACGTATTTTTTGATAATTTATGTCCGTGATTTTCTTCAATTCATCCGATCTGACAACTGAAAATTAAAAAGGTGTGTGAGAAGTAAAATAGGGTGTGTGGATAACACACCCCAAAAGCTATCCTTAATTGATCAAATTTCATCCATTAGGATTAACTCATTAAAGTAAAATTTTGATTTAATCATGAGGTAAACTAAATTAATTACCTCAAATTAAAATCAAATCATAAATTCACCCCGGTATCTGAGCGTGTTAGTAAGTTTTGGGTGTCCAGCTAACACAAATCCATCCGAATTATTTCCAACTGCGCAAATTAAAGGAGGACCAGAAATGCAAAGAAAATGCTTGCTTGGGACCCAAGAAATTTTGCAGATTGAATAATTGAGACAGCAATGTTACAAAAATTAGGTAATTCACCCAGTAGGCCTTGTCAGTATTAATCTCAGCCTCACACTCAGTCTCGTCCGAAAATATCACCAGACAAACCTATATAGCTTATGAAATATTCATCATGCATGTGTACATAATTAAAAAGCTTAAATAAAGGGGGAAAATATCCCATCAAGGACAAAAGGACAATGCCAGCCACCCGACTCCCACCATTCACTCGGCGGGACCTACTGCAAGAAACCAATTGCCACGGCGGTGCTGGTAGATTTCTTGGTGGTGCCGGGAGGCCCCAGTTTGTTTCTACTTGCGGGTTACGGTGAAAGCTCTGTCGGTTTAGCATTCAGTCAGTAATCTAAAGTTGGGCATGTGAGAGTACTACTGGCATGGTAGTTACTACTCAATAAGCGTTGAAATAAACATGTCTATAGTTTGTTTGATGTGACACTCGGTCGGCCAACTCACCAATTTAACTTAATTTTGTCCAAGGGTATTACTGCAATTTTATGGTGGGATGGTTTTATCTTTAGGAAAAATTAATGAAAAGGATTTGAAAATTTTGAATTTTAACGATAATGACAAAATAAAGAGTAAAGTGAATAGTACAAGGATTGATTTTTTAGTGTAAAAATATGATTTTTCGTTAAAGTAAACAGTACCGGAAGCTTTTCGTTAAAGTTTCCTTTATTTTTTACCCTAGTTATTGTTAAGCTCGAACCTGTGTGAGTTCAATCGAGTGTGCTCCAAGCTACTACATGCTTTCAATCCAAATCAGCTACAGCAAAATGAAACAAAAAGCAAAGCTTGAAAGCTCAATTCTGTTTTGTGTCTTATAGGCCAGCCAAGAAAAGTTATATATGATCTCGTTTGGATCTGAGTTTCTTCAATACGATTGTAGATCGAGGAATGAACGCATCTCACTTGAGAGTTGTTCATTCTTTGGGCTTAAAGACGTTTGGACAAGCTTTGTTTGTGGCGAGCATGACGTGAATCACAAATTCCTTTGAGATTACTTTTGTTTGCCAAAATTAATACGATATATATAGCGGCCTACCACCGATGAGCAACAACCACTTAGTGGGGTGGCTAAGATATTTTGAATTGGACAAACTCATGACTTGGCACATATGAGAACTCAAATTACACCACATGAAGGCTGCTATATCTAAAGTCCAAAAAGTTACGCTAGAAAAAATTGGGAATTCTTTTTACAAAAGAATTTATTTGGACTTTGGCGACACAGAAAATGATTAAACACATGGAGTCCACAAGAGAATTCTCCACGTAGGTTTTGGCCCCTTTGTTTTACTCTTCTTCCCATTTAATTACAATTAAATATTAAATTTTGAGCACGTGGCCTTCTCTACAGTGGTGAGAGAAGTATTGTCCTTGCACCACGGCGTGAGTTTGATCTATGTTAGCTTCTTAATCTAACATCCAATTTAACAAATTTAGCGTCTGACAAAAAAAAATATTAAAATTTTGAGACAATTATGCTTAATCACTAAACTAAGATGTCCACTTTTTTTTGTTTTGTTAAAAAAGATGTCCACAATTTTTTTTATTACAAAATGTTCACGGTTTTATTAAATACATAGCATACGTGTAAACAATTATGTTTATACGACATAATTTTATAGCCGATCTTCACCACTAGGATGCGGATAAATTATATCGAATTCGTTCATTTATAATATTTGAATTAAAAAAATTCACTAACAGGTGAAGAAAATTAAAACTAAATTGTAATATAAAAACCAGTTAAACAATGATCTGAGTTTGTTTAATACGTTATCCATTCACTTGTTGTGAAGTTGAGAAATGATATAAATTATAGAGCTCTACACACTTCGACTCATTTCTTTATATTTTTGTGACATGTATTGTATTGTATATTTGTATTCAAACAAAAATATATTTAAAATATTCTAAAGAATCAAAAGGATCCATGAATCATCCGCATTATGTATGCATTGTGAATGCCTTCGATATATTCGCACTGTTCAACTTTGGGAACCTTAAACAATTTGTTTAAACAAGTAATAAATTATTTTGGAAGAAAAAACAAGTAATAAAGAATAACAAGATATAAGTTTTTTTAGTACATAATAAAATATAATACTAATCTTATATTTGTCAATTGGTCTTGTTAAATAATTGGCGTTGGGAATCTGGTCAAATCTTCTAAAGATTTCATTTATTTGTCCCCCACTTCACCCAAAATAATTCATAAATTTTTAAAAAGAATAGTTATTGGCATTTTAAAATTTTTATTTTTTACTTTTCATAAGTATATCTTTTTCTAAATATATAAAGTTTAGAATGCAAAATAAGAATTTTAATGTGTCGATAACCATTTTTTTTTTTAGAAAAAACACAATTTATATTTAGATGCCAAAATACCTATTTCTTTGCGTGTTCAAATCTTCTGCACCCAAATTTGTTATCATAATATACTAATGCATTCAAGGTTTGGCCATATTATAACTATATTTTTATTATGGCTGGATTTTTTTTTTTTTATGGGTAATGATAGATAGACTAAATTTTTAAAATTAAATTTGTAAACCAAATGATGTGATTGTAGATGATTGAATTGTTAATTAAGTGTCGGTTTAACGTATTTGTTTCTTATTGATGACACATCATTTGGTTTGCAAATTTAGTATCCCTAGTATACCCTTTTTTTTTATTCTTACTTAGGTGGTTTTTTTTTTTTTGTCAAAAAATGAA